AGGACAAACAGTACTCTGAAAGCATAGAAACTTGGCAGACCTCACCATAACCAAGTCGTCAAAGTGAACGTCACCAACAAGGAAGCCTCACCACAAAATAACCTGGATGTGATCGGATAAACAGAACATTCATCCCTTTTGCGGAATTTCTGCAAAAATGCACAGTGGCCACCCCCAACCTGAAGGCTACACAAATCAGCTGGCCACATCGCTTAAAATGTGATGGTCACAGAGACAAGGAGAGACTGAGAAAACGTGACAGATGACAGGATGCATGGCAAATGCAATATAGGTTCCTAGTGCTTGCTCTTAGTGTACCAACTTCCAATGCTAATTTCTCAATTTGGTATTTCTACAGTGCTTATAAGAGACACTAGCATAGGGAAAGCTTGGCTTTGATCTAAATGGTTTCAAAATAGAATAAATAGGACAGATGTTCTGAAAGTTAATCAGAGAATCACTCCAGTCCACAATTTCCACCCACATCAGGAACACTTGGGTTGTGGAGAGACCTTGGCAGGTAGGAGCTAGCTATGAGGTTATGACATTATGAACCAGCTATGATGATTATAAAGGCTTACAATTTACAAAGGAGCCAAAACATACCCACAGAAAATTCTTAGCGTATGGTCCAGTCAGTTCCCAGCCAATAGGGTGTGGGCAACATCTTGTCTACCTTTATGGATATTTAAAAAGCAACTATGGGTTTACCTGTACCCTTCCACTACATACTCCCTTTACACAGCACTGCTGGCTGGACTTGGCTGTGATGATGATAGCCCCGCTAGCTTCCTTCTGGCTTTTGCGGGGGAAAGGAGTATCACATGTTTCTAGGCTGGTCTCAAATTCCTGGACTCAACCCTGCACAGTCATGTTCACTGCAGCACTATTCACTATAGCCAAGGTATGGAGACAGCCGAGATGTCCCTCAGTGGATGAATGGACCAAGAAAATGTGGTGTGTATGGTATGTATAGGCAATGGAATTTTATTCATCTATTCGGGAGAGTACTACATCATTTGAAAGAAATGAATGGACCTGGGAAGAGTTACGTTAAGTCAGGCCCAGAGAGACGAAGGACTCATGTTTTCTCTCCTATGTGGAAGCTAGAACTAGTTCATAGATACATAAGCAAACACATCGGGGTTGTCTATCAAGTGTACACAAATGCATTGACCAAAATATGGGATTTTCAGGGGAGAAGTCAAATGGTATAATCCCTTAGAAAGACAAACACAGTGAGGCAAAATGAATACCAGGGAGGGTGGGATCAAGGGGAGGGGATAGACGAAAGAAGAGAGGAAGAAAGAAGAGGAGAATGCAGTCATAAAATCCAATGCATAGCCTACAAAATTACGAAAAGTGAGGGGAGGTATGGGGTTGGAAGAGATGAGGGAGCTCACTGAAATGGGTGATATGGATCAAAATGCACTTCATTCATAAACTTGCTGGTTAAATGGCAACTCCTTTACACAACGACTTATATATACATATATACACACATACGTATATGTATATACATATACATGTGTACATATATACATATACATATATACATATGTATACATATACATACATACGTAAATTATAAGTATATATATATACATATACACATATACGTATATATATATATACACATATATATATAATTTAAAAATGTCCTACGGGGGGGAGGGGTAATGGGAAGGAATAACAAAGGAGGAGGCAACAATGCTTGATAAGAACTGTACTCATTATCTTGCCCATGTAATACCTCTGTACGGTATTTTCACAATAAAAAAAAAATGTCCTGGGTGCAAGTGATCCTCCCCCTTTAGGCTTCCTAGTCCTGAGATGACAGGTGTGTGTCATAAGGCTCAACCCCAGACTAGTTTTAAAGACAGTTCTTTGTGGTTAGGACAACATACAGATATGCATTTCATGCATTGGTTTCATTTAATTTTTAAAGTGTGGGAAGCTCACACCTAAGTTGTTTGATATGTCTCTCTACTCTGGGGTAGTCCCTGCTCTTTCTGCCTTCCCAGTCTGGCTAATGGCCCAACAAATACCCCACACTACTCCCCTCTGCTACTGATTCTGTCTTTCTCTTGTCCCATTGCACTGGCTCAGGGCAGGGTCTTGATCATAGTCCTCCTGACCTGGGGGTCTCTACACTAGCACTGAAACCAGTGACATAAACCTACAGGGCCCCGTGGATTCCTATGGAGAAAGCTGAGTCTGCCCTGTGAAGGTGCCAGGAAGCCGAAGGAGCCATGACACTGGGGCTTCTGCTGCTTGGGCAACCCTGCCAGCTGGCTCAGTTGTCGCTGAGATTCTCACCCTATTCCAGCCTGGTCCCAGGTCACCAGCAGTTGTTTCTTTACATCTCTAATGACCAAAGTGCTTTTGAATATTTTTTTCTTCAAATCAAGTATTATAAAGAATCTCAATGTAAACCCCAGACTCAAATATTTATATATAACAAATACACTTGAGGTATATTTGAATATTCTAAATGTAGACAGTTCAAGCATGTAAATTCTGATTAGCATAAATGCAAATTTATAATGCTTGCTTGCAGATAATGCAAGTCAACACGCTTACTTTTTCTGTAGTACTCAGGACCTTGCACATGCTTGGCAGGTACTCTACTACTTGAGCCATGTGCTGAGGCCTGCAGGTAAACATGGCTATCAGAGACACCTCCTAAATCAGGATATTGGAAAACAATGTTAACTGATGGGTGCAGGTGGCTTACTCCTATAATCCTAGTTATTCAGGAGGCTGAAATCTAAGGATTGAGGTTCAAAGCCCAACTAGGCAGGAAAAGTTCCTGAGACCCTTCACCCCAATTAGCCAGCATAATACCAGAAGTAGAGCTGTGGCACAAGTAGACCACCAGCCTTGAGCACAGAAAGCTAAGAAACAGCAGCCAGGCCTTGAATTCAAGTGCCTGTACCAGCACAAAAAGAGAAAAAAACAAACAAAAATGATCATAACCAGCATCTGTTGAGTATTTCTCGTGCCTGGCACAATCCTAAGTGTTTTAGTGTCTTCGCTTTTCAGTCCTTTCAGTAACCCTGGAAGGTGGTTCAGTTAAGGTCACTTTACAGACTGCAGGTAGAGAGAGCTTAACACACAACCTGCAGTTACACATTGAGAGGCAGAACGGAGCTTAGAGTTCTAGGTGATCTCACTGCCCAGGATGATGCCCTACATTATGCCATCTTTCCTGCTGGCACATGATTCCTGTGCTGATGAATGTTAGCCTGACAGGGATGAGTGCCTGCAATAGTTTGGACAAGTTATGTCTCCCAAGGTCTTTCCATGTGTGAAAGGCTTGATTCCCCAGGGTGCTGCAGATGGGAAGTGTGGAGTCTGTAGGAGGTAGGGGCCAAAGGGAGGTCCTTAAGTCACTAGGGTGTGCCTTCAAAGGAACTGTGGGATGCTGCCTCTTTCTGCTGAGGAGTTTGCCCCATCACGAGCTGAGCTCCCTGCCTTGCCATCCATCACCCCTACCAGAGGCCGAGAAGCAATCATCTTAGATTGGAACTTCCACAACTATAAGCCAAGTCTAACCTTTTTTTTGTCAATTAATTGTGTCAGGTATTTATTTTTATAGTGATAGAAAGCCAATGCATTAGAACTGCATTAAACCATCAGCTAACACTTCTCACTCTCTATAACTAGGCTTCCTATAAAGCATTTTACTAGAGATTGAACTGGAGGTCTCAAAAGAGCTTTACCTCTTGAGCCACATGCCTAATCCTTTCTCTCTTTTGTGTTTTTCAGAGGGAAACTGTGCTGATTTTGTCCAGACTGGCCTTGACCTTGGATCTTCCTGCCTCTCTCTCCCAAGTAGCTGGGGCATGCACCTCCATGACCACCTACCTTATTTCTGAGATAGGATCCTCCTTTTGCACAGCTGAACTACAACTGCCAACCTCCTGTCTTCACTCCCTGAGAATCTGGGATTACCACCATGCTCAACGCTCTAAGTGCATTATCTCATCAAATTCTTAACAATTCCAATAGTGAAGCAATAGAGTGTAATGGTACAGGCGTGGCCCAAATGCCTGAATTCAGCCTCCCTGCCTCCTAGTTCAAATGTTCTCCTAAGTGCATGCCTCACAGAATGGGTATGAGACTTCATGAAACACACAGAGCAGTAGTACTTATCTCACACCTAGAAAGCACTCAGGTGCATTGGCTCTCCAGCCTGATCCGCACTGGCTCAGGCAGCAGATCTGTTAGACTGACATCACTGACATCCCAGATATTCCTCAGCTAGAGATGGTTAAGTGTTAAAGACTAGTTCAAAGACAAATTGTATAAAGCATATTAAATTCTAGTTTTAAAAGCAATTATAAATGTGGTTTTCTGGAGCCAGTACTGGGATTTGAACTCAGGACCTTATGCTTGCTAGGCTGGCACTTACCACTTGAGCTACACCTCTAGCCCTGCTCTTCACTGGTTATTTTCAGATTAGGGTCTCGCTTCCTACTCAGGTGTACACCTGAGCCACATTCCACCTACTTTAGATTCCCACTCATTGCTGAGATGACAGATAGGCACCATTTTGTCTAGCTTCCTTCCATGAAGATGGAGTCTTGTGAACTTCCCTGCTCAGGCTGGCCTGGAACTGTGATCCAGCCTCGCAAGTAGCTAAGATTTCAGACCTGAGCCACTGACTCCTGGGATTATAATTGTACTTTTAAAACACATGATCTCGGGGACTTGCCTCATATACATCTAACTTCCCAGAAACTTGAGAGTAACTCAGAAGGAAGAAGGAAAACTCTTGAGCCACCTCTGGTTTCCTTTTTCTTTCTCTCTTCTCTCCCCAGTCTCCTCTCCCCTCTCCTCCCCTCTCCTCTCTCCTCTCCCCACTCCCTCTTTCCCTCTCCCTCTCCCTCCTCCCCTCTCTCTCTCCTGTATATCAAACCATCCTTGCCCTATGCTCTGTTCTAGGAGTTGGGTTTTTTCCTGCATGGCTTGGCACTGACTTCCATTCCTCTTACCTGTGCTTCAGCCGAAGTTTAACCCCAGCAGGCCACGCTGCTTTCTTGTGTTGGAGGCCAGAGGTGAGGTGCTCTGGGCTGGAGGAGTCAGAGGTGCCAAGGTCTGCACGGCCTGGGTCTGCACACACATCTCTGTCAGAAACAGGGAAAGAAGAAACTGAGCATAATGTTGTTCACCAGCAGGATAAGTATACATAACAACTCACATAACAAATGCATTTAACAGGAAAGTGGACGCTGAAGTCAGGGAAAGGCAGCATGGCTGAGGGCAGGGTGCCAAGTGTGGACCAACAAATATCTCTACCCTAAAGAAGCCCACTGTGAGGGAGGCTCTTTTGCCTTCCTGTGAGCTGTCTTTAAAACTCAGATTATCTCAATAAGGAGGAAGACACAATAACTGCTTGATTTAATTTTTTTTGTAGTTTTGAGGGTGGAACCCAGGGCCTTGGGCATGCCAGGCAAACATTCTACCTGAGCTTCATCTCCAACCCCATATGAACTGTTTTGAAGAAACTTTCTCCTATTCTTAACTTAGTAAACTTATTTTTCATACTGGTACCATAGCTTGACCTCAAGAGTTTCACTCTTGTTTGGCTTCCCCCCCTCCCTCAAGGCTAAATGAGCCATACTTTCACATCCAGCGTTTTGCTGGTTAAATGGAGATGAGAATCTCATGAACTTCTCTTCCCAGACTGTCTCTGAATCTCAATCCTCAGGATCTTAGCCTCCTGAATAACTAGGATAACAAGTGGGAACAAACACCACCACCTACTTTCTCCTATACTTTAATCCTGACAAATAAGGGAAAGACAACTCCCTGCTGTGAACCATCAATCAAGGTGATTCCCTGAAACCAAGTCATTGGCTCACATCTCAAGTTCAATGTGAGGCAAGCCCTGGTCTAGTCAGTGGGTGGCAGGCAGCTCAGGCGCACATGCCAAATCCTGAGCTCTGACTATTTCAGATTGTTTAGATTCCACTGTGCTGGGAAGCAAGTCCTCCTGTGTCCATTTCAGCCCACCCTCCCACCCCCAGTTCCTAAGCTTTTTCCCATAAATGCTTTCCTCCCTTCTCCCAGGGGAACATGCACATACTGCTTGAGAGAGTTTCGGGGTCCAAAGTTTGCAGACACTGCTCTTTAATCACACTGTCCTCTGCCTCAGGCTTTGAAGTGAACATTGTCACCATCCCAGTTTTCTGAGCATGGTGGTGTGTGTTCAGTTTCTGTCTTCAAGGATTTTTCTAAGCCTCGGAGATCCAGCTGGTCAGCCGGCCAGCAGGAATCTGGGGAGGGCATAAATGAGGGCACCCCTCCTCTTCCAATGGCAGGATTACCTAACAGCTGTTAGGAATAAGCCGTCCATCTGGCCTCAGATTTTCTGGAACATGGTAGGAATGGGAGCAAACGAGCTCTCGTTTTTTTTTAATTCGAAAGCAAAAAAAAGGATCTCTTTCTTTTAGGGCACAGAGGGGATGAACGGAAGGCTAGCAGCTCTATTTCCCATCCACAGTTTTCTTCATTGCTTTAGTGCTACTGTATGGGTAGTGTTTCAGCCTGTCTCCTGAGGACTGATGATTGTTGTAGCAGGATCTCCAAGGGGTGGAACCTTGGGGGAGGTGACTGACAACCCTGTCCTTGGAAGTAATTAAGGTAGATCTCCAAAGGAGATGGAAGAGCAGGCAGGGCCCCTAAATTGCTCTCTGGCTCCCAGTGTTGTAGTGATAGCAACTCTGCCCTGTGCCAGTTCCTGCCAGGACACCCTACTAGGATATGGTGCAGCCAAGCATATCCTCAACCCAGGATGCAATCTGCCAGGATGTGGTGCAGCCAGGAGCCTCAATGGAGGCCACATCCGTGGGTCTGTCCTGTCTTGTACTCTCAGTCTGCACAACCATCCCCTCAGCCAGACTCTTTTCTTTATGATATCAGCCAGCCATGGGGATTTCATTATAGTAATGCAGAACCTATACTTAGTTGTATCTAAGTGTTACCACCTTCTTCTGGACTTCATATTTCTCAAATTTAGGATTCCTAGTTTCTAAGATATTCAACCTAATTCTAGATTTGAAATCTAAAGACTTACAAACCCTGAGCTGTAGTAAAACATAGATAAGAGTGAGTAATGGGTAGAAGTTGTGCCTGCAGGTCACCCTGGCTCTGCCCACTGGTGGGTGATGTGATACTTTGTGCTCACTCATCACTAGGAAAACATTTAGAACAGAGTCTGGAACATATTAATCGTTCAGTAAATTAGCTAGTATTATAATGCTTATATTTCAGAGTTGCTACAAAATTTCTAGAGGGTATTGTCTAGTGCACATGGTATATGCTTAATAAGCAATTTTCATAATTATTTTCTTTTTTTTCCCTCCTTTTTTGGTACTGGGGGGGGAGGGGGGCCAAACCCAGGTCATTACACTTGCTAGGCAAGCACTTTGCCAATAAGCTATATCCCAGACCATACTTTTCTTCATAGTAGAGCAACTGACAGCTTAAGACATTATGTAAAACAGTTACTATCAAAAAGACCTAATTTCTACTGGAAAGAGTATAAGAGGCTGAGGTACTTGAAACCTGTTGCAAAATCCATCATCTAATCTCGAATTAGAAATTCTCACACGATCTTCAGAGGCAACAATCCCAAAGTCAATTTGGCTTAAATTGAGGAGGAAAGGTAGACTCATAGGTACCTCACCTGGCTGGTCATGGTGACTCACACCTTATTCCAGCTACTAAGAAGGCAAGAAGTAGCTCATGGTTTGAGGCCAGGTTGGCAATGTTAGAAAAAGACTATCTGAAAATAGACTAAAGAAAGGGCTGGGGGTGTGGCTCAAGTGGTAGAGTACTTGTAAAATACTATTATCTAATACCAAATATAAAGAGTATATGAGCTGAGGGCCGGTGGCTCACGCCTGTAATAACCCTAGCTACTCAGGAGGCTGAGATCTGAGGATCATGGTTCAAAGCCAGCCTGGGCAGGAAAGTATGTGAGACTCTCATTTCCAATAAGCCACTCAAAAAACCAGAAGTGGTGCTGTGGCTCCACTGGTAGAGCACTAGCCTTAAGCTGAAGAGCTGAGGGACAGCACCCAGCCCAGATATAAAAAAGCATGTTCCAAGACCACCCATGGGTAGCATCCACCTGACAGCAAACTTTCCAGGTCTCCTCTAGATTTTCAGGTCATCAGTTTGGAGAAAACAATCAGGGCCAGGCCTGACTTTCACAAAACCTTTGTGGCATTTAATAACTTCCTCATTTTTGGCCTAAACCACAATTGTTGGCTTCGTCCTTTCTGCACAATGGCTTCGCTGCTGGAGGTTGAGTGATTCTCCCTCCTCCTCCTTCCCTCCTAGTCTGGGAGTTTCCTAGAGACAGGGAGAGGCCAGGGCTTCTGGCTGCCCCGTGAAGGCCTGGCAGGACAAACAGGCCATGGGAAAGGGAAGGAAGAACACAAGGGTGCGTCAGCCCTGTAGAGATTTCCAGTGTGTGGGCCCTTCCACGCTGAGGTGCACTGCCCTCCAGTCATGCTACCTTGCCACCTGCCACCTCAGAGCCAGCTGGGGCAAGGCAGCTGGGCACGAGACTCCCGGAAACCTACTGGGCTGATTGGAACGTCCAAGCGAAGCCACAGCAGCCTCCAGCTAATTCTCATGCCGCTGCCTGGAATGAGCGGGCCATGGATGCCAGACAGAAAGAGGTCTAAGAACCCAAGTGGGCACATGGAAGACGAACCACATGATCTAGGAATCAGGCTGCAGAGAGTGTCAAAGGAACCACCAGCACCCAGATCACACCTTTCCTCACTTCTACTTTCTGCTGTGAATAACCTGGATCTTTTGTTGTTGTTGTTGTTCCCTGTTCTGAGGATTGAACTTACTTGAGCCATTATTCCATGCTTTTGTTTTTGAGACTGGGTCTTGCGACCTTGGTCTGGGCTGGCCTGGAACTCAAGATCCTCCTGCCTCTGCTTCGTGAGTTGTGTGGATTACAGGCACGCATCACTATACCTTGCTACAAACATTAGAAATTTACATGGTGTTTTCCTTTTTTTTTTTTTCTTGAGTCTGGTCATGGGGCCTGAACTCTGGGCCTGGGCGCTGTCCCTCAGCTCTTCAGCTCAAGGCTAGCACTCTACCACTTGAGCCGCAGCACCACTTCCAGCTTTTTTCTTTTTGCTTATGGGGTGCTGAGGAATCGAACCCAGGGCCTCAGGCATGCAAGGCAAGCGCTCTACCACTGAGCCACCTTCGCAGTCCCTAGTGTTTTCCTTTTTTAGACTGTTGTCCTCCTATTTATACCTTCTACCTGGTTGGAATGATATACACCCAGCTTTATTTGGTTGAGATGGGGCGGCCCACAAACGTTTTGCCCAGGCTAGCTCCTACCTATGAGCCTCCCCATGTTTGCCTCACAAGTAAGCTGGGATTACAGGTATGAGCTTCAGTGCCCGACTCAAAAATTCCTATGTTCTAATCAAAAGAAATCCCCTGGTGAATTTCGATGGAAGACAGTCCTGAAATGAGTGTGGGTAGGCCCATCACCTCAGAGCCCTGGAATTACCATGCCCTCTCTCTCCCTACCTCACCCCACAGCAAATGCACACTGTCTCCAGAACACATGTTCCCACATGCTACAGGCTCCCCCGCTAACTGGCATGGTGGGAATTGATACCTCTGTGGCCACTTTGGCGCCTTTCCTTCTGGGTGATTGCCCAGCACAGCCAGGGTGGGAGATCAGGTGTGCCCCACTCAGCAGACAAAGCATCAGTCCAAGAAATTCACCCCACTTCAGGGTCCCCCTCCTACCGCTTCAGTAAAGACAAGCCGGCCTGGTGTGTACTGGGCCAGCACTTGCTGAATGATCAGCAGGTTAGGCGACACATCCACCACCTTCCATCCCTCCAATCTCCTTTTAATTCACTAGCTAACTTGTTGGCAAAACTAATGAGACATTTCTTGGGGCTGTATGATGAAGACATTGCTGCTGCCACTCCACGGCCACAACGACCCACTGTTCCATGTCTCTTCCCCTTATCCATGAAGAAGCTAGCCAGCAGCCAGGCTCCAGGGTTCACATCTGTAATCCTAGCTATTCCAGAGGCTGAGATCTGAGGACCATAGTTTGAA